TCCCAGAATTCCCCAGCCAGCATTCGCTGGCTGGGGAATTCTGGGAGTTGAAGTCCAGACATCTTCAAGTAGCCAAGGTTGAGAAACACTGCCCTGGGGTCTTCACACACACACACACACGGGAGAAGAGCAATTCTAAACTCAAAGGAGAAATGGGGGGTGCAGGATGAGAAGAGTCCCTTCCTAAGGAGGTTTTGAGCTGCCCCAGAGATTACATTCAACCCAGTGCCAACCTCAGCTCAGCTGTCTGCCAGCAGAACCAGGAATTGGGGGGGGGGGGGGGATGATTACGGCCTCAGCATCTTCCTCCAGCCAGCATCAAGGAAGCAGGTCCTCCCCCCCCCAGGGCATCCCAGGAGAAAAGGCCCTTCCAAGGGCCCAGGCGGGAGGGTCGGGAGCCTCCTCTGGACCTCAGCCAGCGGTTCCTGGGGGCAGACTCACGTGGGTGACTTTCCTCTTGATGTTCTCCAGGAGATGCTCCTGGCCTCGGAGGAAGTGGGGGTGCTGGAACTCCGTGTCGTCCTTCTCGGGCTTGACCAGCCCCCCCTGCTCGATGTGAACCACCTTCCGGAAACCGTCTGAAACACAAGAGGCGGAGCTGGGTGGCAACCAGAGCGGAGGAGGAGGAGGCGGGAGCAGCTGACTCAACCGTCACGGGCCGCAGGGCTCCCCAACCTTCACAGCTTTCAAGGCTTGTGGACTTCAACTCCCAGAACGCCATGCTGGCTGAGGGATTCTGGGAGTTGATGTCCTCAAGTTGTGCAGCTGCCAGGGCTCCAGACCCCTGATGTACAGCATCGATTGCCCCTCCGAGGCGTGGGGCGCTTCTGCTTTCCAAGACACGCAGGGATGACTAATGCTGCCGTTTTTAATGAGCCACCTTTCCGAAATGCCAAGTAAGTAAAGGAAGCACTTTCCGTCCGCAGACAGCCCCGGGCGTCTGTCGGGGGAGCATGGGAAGGGTTGCAGGTCAGAGCAGCACCGAACCAGACCGGCCTCCCAGGAGCATCTGGTGGGCCTGATTTGGAGCAGGATCTGCCTTTCCCTTTGCCCTGTGGTGGTGCTCTTTGTCTGTGGAGACGCTCCTTCATCCCAGTCAGGGTTGTCCCAAAGGAAGCTGGACTTCCTTGGGGGTTTTTTCCTTGAAAGCGTTTCGCTTCTCATCCAAGAACTGAAGAAGCTTCTTGCGTGGGAACGTTTTCAAAGAAAAAAAACCAGAGCAAGGAAGACCAGTTGTGCCTTTTGGAAAAAGCCCCCTTTGGATGGTGCTCTTAGCTGCAGCCCTTCATCTTTACTATCAGTTCAGAGGTCCACCCTCCAGAAAGCCCCTCCCCCTTCTAAAAGCAGGGATGAAGAGCCCACCGCCCGCCCTCGAGGGGGGTCTGCGGGGCCACCAGCAGAGGCGCTCAGCCCTTTCTTCTGCTAACCGCCCAGCAAAAGATTCAAGGGCTCCTGGGCAATTACGCTCCTGATTATTAGCACAGGCAGCAGCAGAGACGCTGGTCATCAAGGCTCCAGTGCCAAGCCTCGTCTGCCTGGGGCAGCCATGTTTATGGACAGGGCTTCTCTGCCGTCCCTTTCCTCCGAGGCCCCTCACAAAGGTCGCATGCCAGCTAAGCAGCAAATTTGGGGAGGCTGTAAAAACAGGCAGGCTCTCTCCTGGGACAGCGGTTAGAGAGCTGCAATTGTTACGGGGCACCTGATTATTATTATTTCTTCTGTGTTGCAGGCAACATCTGGCAGTGAGGCCTCTGGGTGGACACCCCAAATTCTCAGTATTTTTAATCTTAAATAGAGAAAAATGGTAAGAACTATTTTAGGAACATTTGGGGTCCATTGCCACATGACGATGCTCGGTCCTGTTGTGGAGAAACTGAGGGTAGGAATTTTAAAAAGCGTACCCCCAAACGGAGGACAGCACTTAGATTTATATACAGCTTCAGAGTGCTTTGCAGCCCTCTCTAAGCAGTTTACAAATATCAGCCTCTTGCCCCCAAACAATCCGTGTCCTCATTTTACCGATCTCAGAAGGATGGAAGGCTGAGTCAACCTTGAGCCTGGTGAGAATCGAACTGCTGGCTGTCGGCAGAGTTTTGCCTGCAATACTGCATTCTAACCAGCGCGCCACCTCAGCTCTTTAAACCCCTTAAACATTTGTTTCACATTTCATGCTTCAAGGGCAGTGTGTGAAGAGCAGAAAGACCAACTTTCTCTCGCCTGACGCCCCCCACATCAGAAGATGCTTCCGTTGCTGTGCACCATGGACCTTGTCTTAACTAAAGGAAAGTCCAAGAAGCCCCCCCCCCCCCCCAGGGCAGCGCACGCAACCAGAGCAGAGCGCCGTCTCTCCCCTGGGCACAGCCCAAACCCTCCCGCTTGGCTCCTCCCACCTCCTGCAAGCACCACAAGCAGCATCTCGGGGGGGAAGGGGGGGGGTGTCCCTGGCAGTCCTTCTCCAGGCGCTGAGCATACTCACACATGTTCAGCTGCCGCACAAAGCTGGCCATGTTGTTGTGTTTGAAATACTTGGGAAGGACCTCCTTGGCAAACTGGCCTTGGTCGAAGACATGGAAGCTGTTTCCACTCTGCAACAACAGGGAAAGGATGAGTTTGTCAGCCGGCCGGCCGGCCGGAGCACAGCCGGCTGAGCCGTAAAACAGAAAACCTTAGGCAGTCCTCGACTTACAACTACAATTGAGCCCAACATTTCCATTGCTAAATGAGACAGCGGAGTTTTGCCCCATATTACAGCTTGCCTTGCCACGGTTGTTAAGCGAATCACTGCGGTTGCTAACCTGGTTGTGAAGTGAATTTGGCTTCCCCATCGACTTTACCTGTCAGAAAGTCACAAAAGGGGACCAGGTGGCCCTGGGACAGTGCAACCGTCGTAAGTATCAATCAGTTGCAAAGGGTCTGAATTTTGATCATGTGACCACGGGGATGCTGCCATAAAGAGTGCAAAACAGCCGTAGGCCATTTTTCAAAGTGCTGTTTTAACTCTGAACAGCCACTAAACGAATGCTCGTAAGTCGAGGACTTCTTCTGCCGCAGCCCTTTCAGCTCAGAGAGATGCAGGAGGCAGGAACCAGGAGCCACCTGGTAAATATTTAGAAACATTTAGTCAGGGGAAAGTCTCCCATTAGGCAGAGCTGATGTCCCAGGGGCTGCCCAGGCAGACACATACTGGACTTTTTAAATTGGCTAAAGAAAAATTAAGAGGGACAATAAATGACAGAAGCTGCAGCGTTAAATGCCGGCATCATTCTCCTTTCAAGAATGCCGCAAGCCTCCTCCCCACTGCGGCATTCCTGGAAAGTGAAAATGGGGGCTGCAGCAGCCCTCTGCCTGAAGGTTAACCTGGGACCCACCAGGAGACCCCCATCCTTCCCCCCCAGAGGTGTGGTTTGCCTGCTTTGCCCCTTGCATCTCGTTCTCCTAGCTAAGTGCAGGTGCTCATGCTTCTTGTCTTTGAACAAGCACACTGTGGGTCACAGCCGTGGGGGGCTAGGCCTGGCTCTGCCTTTTGCAGAGCTGAAGACCTTGGTGGAAATAGAGGAGCCGGTGAATGGATCTGTTCCTCATCAGAATCCCTCTCTGGATTAAGGGGGACACAAGGATGCCCCCACAAGTTTGCTCCGCCCAGATTCTCTCTGCAAAGAAATGATAAAACAGCCCCAGCCCCAACCCTGCAGGCATTAAACCCAGTAAGGCCACCCCTTGGAGGGATTGCTCAACCAACTGCCCCTCCACTTGGCAGCGAGACTATTCATGGCTCCACTTTTATCAGAAGGGAATCCGTGATCAATATTATCCAGTGCTTTACTGGAGTCGAAGTACACAACATCCGTGACGTACCCCAGGTCTACTAATCTAGTTTAAAAATACAGTAAGATTTGTCTGGCAAACCCATGATGGCTTCTAGGAATCGTCTTGATCCTTTTCCTAAATGCTTGCAGACCAAACGCTTTGAGAATTTCCCCAAGTACTAAGTCTTTCGGTCTGCGTGTGCCTATTTCTCCTCCTCCTTCTGACCTACCTGACAGGACAGACAGGTGACCAGGGAAAGGTGGCAGCTTCATTTATTCAGCTGGTTCTACATGACAGACCAACCACTTTTGTTGCAGGCCACAATGAATTACTTATTCAGCCCTATGTAATATGATGAAATAAATAATACCAAAATAATTTCAGCTAAAAGAACTCATACACAGGTAGTCCTTTAACTTACAAGAGTTCATTTAGTGGCCGTTCAAAGTTACAATGGCACTGAAAAGAGTGACTTACGACTGTTTTTCACACTTATGACCACTGCAGCATTCCCATGGTCATGTGATCCAAATTCAGATGCTTGGCAACTGCTTTATATTTACGACCGTTGCTATGTCCCAAGGTCATATTATCCCCTTTTACAACCATCGGCAAGCAAAAGTCAATGGGGAAGCCAGGTTCACTTAACAAGTGTGACTAACTTAACAACTGCAGTGATTCACTTAACAAATGCGGGAAGAAAGGTTGAAAAACGGGGGCCAAACTCACTTAACCAATCTTCCACTTAGCAACAGAAGGGTTGGGCTCAATTGTGGCCTGAGGTGGAGGCCTGCCTGGAACGGGAAAGCCCAGCCTGTGTCCTGTCTGTGGCTCAAGGGGATCTTGTGGTTCAGGACTGGCAATCAGACAAAATCGGGACCTGGAAGGTCTCTGGAACCCCTGGGCTGCTTCCAGACAGGATGGGGCCCTTCAGCCACTCCAGGGCAGTGCCTGGAGCAACAGCCTCCTGGCCACCCACCCTCCTGAGCCCGGCTTCCAGCAAATAGCTGCTGGTAGGAGCAATCATTGAATGGTTTGCTCTGGGTTATTTTTTTAAAGTCATATGCGTTCTTCAGCAAAATGTCATTGTTTCTATGGCTCAGAGCAGGAATTTTATTGCCAAAATATAACGGTGTCTACAAAAGAAAAGGAAATATTTTCCAATCTGGCAGAAGAACATAAAGAGATCATTGTACAACTGGATTGTCTCTCATGGCAGGAGGAAGATCTGCCGTTGAGTCATCTTCCCCTCGAGACGATTCCATACGGTTGCAGAACAAACACAACTGGGAAGACGCCCCAGGTTGTGCCAGCCTTGGCACAAGCTTCAGTGGGCCGGTTCAGAGAAAGGGAGGCGCATCTTGGACTCTCCAAAGTACTCACTGATCCCGGAATCCTGCCACCCTCAGACTTGGCTGGATCAGGCAGCCTCAAGTGACACTGCTTGGAAAGTCTACTTTTAAGGCAACTGTTGACATCTTGCAGGTAATCTCCCAATCCCATTCCCTGGCCTTTCCCCACTGACTGCGAAGCCAGAGCTTTCTCTTACACTGGAGGCCTCTAACTCACACAAGGCTATTCTTATGCAAGACTGGAACTGACAAGGCTACCATGGGCCCAATCACCACCGTGCCACACACATCTATATTTGTGTATGCAGGGTAAAAATAGGTCCATTATATCATCCCCCGTGTTTCAGGCTTCCCAGGCGCCAAGGTCTGCTGGATCTCTCCTTCTTTCTGAAGGTCCTTTCCGCTCATCAGGCACTTCCTCAATTGTCTGGGTTATCTCAAAGACCACACACAAGGCTTCAACCAATCGCCACTTGGCTCCTTAAGAATGCTGGGATGCAATTCACTAGGGTTTGGGGGATTTAGATTCATTTAATGTGGTATTTCCTAACCATGCTTCAAACTTACTCCTTCATACTGCAATTAAGACACAGGAATGGAAAATATAGAGGACATCTGCTTTTGGGTACCTGTTAGTATTTGCCTCCTTCAGGGAGCAGCTGGCATATTGATTTGATTCCTCTTTTTTTTTTACCCATCTAAAGAAAAGTACCTTTTTGTTAGCATGCTTTGCTGGCCTCAGTCCATTCTGAGTTTTAGCTCCTTGACTTCTGGTTTCCCCTCCTCTACAACCCAACCTTGCTCACTGTCAAACCCAATGAAGTTCAGATGAGTCAGAAGTCAGCTGCGGGTATTTAGGATACATCTGTTGTTGAGTTACAGGACTGAGTCAGGCCAGGCCATTGAAGCCCACAAGGACATCATCGTGGAAGGGTTTGCTTGGGAAGCTGTGGGTGCTCCATCGGTGGAGGTTTTTAAGAAGAGATGGGACACAGCCACTCCTCCAGGGGCCCACTTGGTCTGTTATACAGATAACCGGAAGGGCATCTTTCCTGGAAAGGCTGCTTTCTATCACCTCTTCAGAGAACTTGGCTCAGGCACTCCCCCCCCCCCCCCCCAAGCTTTGAAAGTACTTCTCCTCTTCAGCAATTGAAGGAAAAATTTACACGATGCTCCATATATAAACATTTTGTTCTTCCAAGAGATAGAATGCTACACAATTACTCAGCATGGAACTTTAAAAAACACGGAGAGGGCACACAAGTAAATTCAGTTGTTAAGTGAATCATGTGGTTAAATAAATCTGCCCCCCCCCATTGACTTTGCTTGTCAGAAACCAACTTGGAAGTTTACAAATGGGGATCATCTGACTCTGGGACACTGCAGGTGTCATAAATTTTGATCATGGGGATGCTGCAACTGTTGTGAAAACCGGGTTATAAGTCACTTTTTCAGAGTGGAAGGAATTTCAAAGGGTTGTGTGGAGAACCACCTAAATGAACACTGGTCACTAGGAAATGCACAGCATTGCTGTTACCTAACTATAATATTTTATTAGGACTGATTATATTTACAACGCTACCATTGTCTCTCATGAGATGCAATATAACCACAGTCTTTGAATTACAACCTGGAATATACTTTCCTAATAATGTTCCCTTTATACTCAAGAGGCTTATTCCCAAACTGACTTAAATCACCTTCTGTGCTGTCTCTCCCCAGGAGCTATGAATCCACCCCATTGATCCTGGGCAGTTATTCTTCTTCAAAGTTGGATTTTCCTCAAATGTTGATTTAGTGGCACTGACTGCATTTCAAAGCACTAGCTTCCCATTGAGACATTTTGGCAGAAGCTAAACAACCATCTGTTTAGAGATACTGTACACTTGTAACAATACAACTCCTCCTCTTACTTAAGACAGCAATTACTGTACACTCAACTCAGCTTAAGACCCTATTCTAGGCACATTATTCTGTTCGTTTGAGGATTGTTACATATTTCTTTTTTACTTGTTGACTGAAACATAGATCTGAGAGGAAGTCTCATTCTAGGCTTCTGCCCCTAAACAACCTGAACAGACTTTTCTCTTTTCTCAACCTAGAATAGAATAGAATAATAGAGCACTGTGGAGGTCTTCTAGTCAAACCTTCTGCTCAAGCAGGAGACCCTATGCCATGTCAGATAAATGGTTGTGCAGTCTCTTAAAAACCTCCAGTCATGGAACACTCACGTCAGAAATCAAGCTGTTCCACTGCTTGAATGTTCTCACCATTAGGAAAGTCCTCCTTAATTCTAGGTGGCTGCTCTCCTTGATTAGTTTCCAACCATTGTTTCTTGCCTTGCCTTTTGGTTCTTTGGAAATTAGGTCAACCCTCTCATCCTTGTAGGAGCCCCTCAAATATTGGAATATTGGCCCTTTCCCTGTGCTTGAACACTTACCTAATTGCCAAGGACAAATCTAGTTAAGCTAAGCATCAAGACTTCTCCCTGACTGAAAACTTCCTCCTTAAGATAAACTGCAATTCCATCCATCTCAGTTTCTTATTTTCCAATAGCGTTTCCATCTGGGTTTAATATCAAATTGTTTTCTCTCGCCCATTCACCCACAGATTGTCACAGTTTGGCAATCTTCCAGAGGTATAGATTGCTTGAGCTCCTGTTGAGCTATATTGATGACAGATATTCCAGTGGTCCCTACTCACACTTTCTTGTAGATGCTGGATGCTGGAATTCCCTGGGACACTATAGCTCAGTGACCAAAATGCTGACCAATAGTCCGATAATGCCTGCCACCGTGCAACAGGATGGACCAGAACCTAAACCACAATCTCTAACTACACAGGAAGGCTGAATGGTAAAGTAACTTTTCAAAGGATGCCAGGATATCAGCAGGGGATACTATTTTGAGAATAAAAACTTCAAAAAGCCCCCCAAAAGTCAATGTTTTCAGAACTGCCCTCCTATAAAACCTATAGAGGAGAAAATAAAAAAGAGGCAGATTGCTAATACTGGAATCTCCTTAGGATAAAAAGTATAAAGGGGAAAAAAAAAACACCAAACGGGCTTTTCCTATGCTTGGAAACAGTCTGAAAAACACTCTTTGGAAGGAACCGGAGTAAACAAAGAGACACAAACACACATTAACCAAACTCGGGAGAGGCCGAATGAGGTAAAGAAAACCACTCAGGGAGAAGGAAGAGGACCCCCCCCCTCTGCTTCCGCTGAAGACCCACATTCTCCAGCCTCTAAGTAAGAGTCTCTCCAAACTCGGCAGCCTTAAGACTTGGGGACTACAACTCCCAGAATCCAGGAAGGCAGCCAACCTGGGAGTTGTAGTCCACCCAACCTGAAAGCCCCGAAGTTGAGACGCTTCTCGGGGGCTCCATCACCGGCCCTGCGAGGGCGCCTCACCTCAGACCCTCCCGACCCAGCATCCCCCTCCTGAGGGGCCGCCAGGCATTTTTTCCTCTGCCCCACACGGCCGCTCCCCCCCACAGGGAAGCCTCAGGGCCGCCTCCTCCTCCTCCTCCCTGAACTAGACAGCCTGGAGCGGGCGGAGGGGCCCGGGCTGAGACCCCGGCGCGGCCTGCTTCCTCACCGGGCTCCAGCAGATGAGCGCGTCCGTGTCCGTGTCCTCCACCAGCGTCCATAGCTTGGTGAGGAAGGCCGGCACGTTGCTGCCCCCTCCGCCTCCTCCGGCCACGGCGCCGGGGGGCTCCATGCTAGCGGCGGGCGGGCGGCCCAGCCCGGGCCCGCTTTCCTGGCCCGGGCAAGCCCTGCAACGGGCCCCGCTGCTGCCGCCGGAGCGGGCGGCGCGGAAACGACTAGCGGCCGCGGCTGCTCCCGCCTCGCCAAAGCCCGACGCCGCGCTGCGCACTCGCTCCCTCAGAAGGAACGGGCATGGCCGCCGCCATCTTGCGACGCGCAGGCGCAACGCCGCACGCACGCACGCGCCGTCTAGACACACTGTTGTGCCTCGCGCCGCGGGGGCTGGCTGTGGTAGTGCGCATGCACCCCACCTGTTGTGGAGAGCAGATGCGCGCGTGCGCGGTCCTTCCACCTGTTCGGACTGTGCACGGAGCTCCCTGCAGGGGGGTCCCCGCCCGACTCCCGAGTCTGGAAGCGGGGTGGAGTCCATCCCGGGACGCTGGCGGTCGGCCTCTGCCGCTGAGGATGTCGGCAGGGTGGCTGCAACTGGCCCGATGGACCCGCTTTGCAGCCGCTCCTTTTGCTTTCGGCTGTGCAGAGAGACAAGGAGGCAGCGGCAGCGTCCCCGGTGGGGGCAGGAAAACTGGGTTGGATGTCTGCATTTGGGTGAACCCGATCCGATTTGCGTGGACCATCCTCACTCCAAGCTTCCTTCCCCCGTTGCTCGTGCAAGCCGGTAATAGATCCTTGCGGTCGTTGTTAAGTCGTGTCCCACTCTTTGTGACCCCCATGGACCATAGCATGTGAGCCCCCCCCCCGGTTCTCCACTGGTTCCCGGCGGTTTGCCCAAATTCATGTTCCTCGATGGCACTATCCATTCCTCTGCCGTCCCCGTCTCCTTTTTCCTCCGTTTCCCTCTTTCCCAACATCAGGGTGTTCTCCAAGGAGTCCTCTCTTCTCATTTGCTGGCCGAAGCATTTGAGCTTCAGGATCTGCCCTTCCACAGGGACACTCAGGGTTGGCTTCCTTCAGGATTGACTGATGGGATCTCCTTGCAGTCCAGGGGCCCCTCAGGAGTCCTCTGCAGCACCACGATTCAACAGCATCAGTTCTTCAGCACTCAGCGGTCTTTGCGCTGCTCCCTTGCAAAGTTTCATGATCTTTAGCCATAATTTCCGAAGTAATTGCCATCCCAATCTCCACTCTTCCGTTGGCTGCATCCACTACCCCATATTGCACCTATGATTTTATCATTTAGGCAGCGTGGACTTCAACTCCCAGAATTCCCCAGCTAGCCAGTCCAAATCAAGAACTCTCAGCCGCTGCAAAAAGGAGGGGGGGGGCTTTCTTAGAGCCTGCTATTTAAAGTTGTCGGTCTCAACCGGGGATAAAGACGGCCTTCCCTATATTTCCGGACAATCTGGGGATCGCCCCGAAACGAAGCGCGGCTTTTCCCTGCTTTAACTAGAGACCCGCCGGGCGCTTTGACTTGGACCAGCGGCGGGGCTCGGGCGAGATAGGGACTTCCTGGTCCCAAGTCGCATGCGCAGCGGCAGCCAGCTCGCCACGAGAAGCGGCTAGGGCGGAGCGAAGGACTCCGCGGACGTATCGCGCAGGCGCCACCCGGCGGGGGGGCGGGACAAGGAGCTTCCGGCGCATGCGTCGTGGCTGGTGTCGGCTGAGGCGTGCGCACGCGGTGCCGACGGAGCAGGGCTGAGGGACCGGCGGAGGCGGCTTTGGCCGGGTGAGCGCGGGGAGCCGAGTCTAGCCGGCCCGGCAAGGAGGCAAAGGCTCCGCCGCGGAGGGACGCCGGGCTGGGCGCGGCCTTCTCCGGCCCGGTTGGCGGGTCTTGAGGGCCTCTTACAAAGGCGGGCTGGGGGCCTGGCTGAAGCGCTTCTCTCCCGTTACCTCACGATATCGGCCTAGTCCTAAGCTGTGGTTTTGCTCCCGAGGGATCCGGGCAACGCGTGGCTGGAGGGCAAATAAAGTTACCTCAGGAGTTCGCGGCGCGCCTGCCCCGTGCTCCGAAGTAAGGAGCCGGTCGCAGGGGGGGAGCTATGGCGGGAGGTTGTTTCCCCGAAGGTGCCCGGGCTCTCAAGGGCAGCTTATAAGAAGAGTTGGAAGGGGATCCCCAGAGGTCTTCCAGTCCAACCCCCTCCCCTCCTCCTCAGGCAGGGAGACCCCATAACAGATGGCTGCCCAGGCTCTTCTTCACAACCTCCAGGGATGGAGCACCCACAACTCCACTCCACTGGCTCATTGCTCTGAAGGTCAGGAAATTCCTCCTCAGTTCCAGGTTGCTTCTCTCCTTGATTCTTCCTAGGAGCCAGGAGGATCCACCGCCTGGCCCTAGAACAGTGCTTCTCAACCTTGGTGACTTTTAAGTCCTGTGGACTTCAACTCCCAGAATCCCCCAGCCAGCATAGCTGGAGGATGCTGGGAGTTAAAGTCCACAGGACTTAAAAGTCACCAAGGTTGAGAAGCACTGCCCTAGAAGGTCTCGGGAATTGCATATAGAACATTGCAACACTGATTTTTTTTTTATTTTATACATCAAAAATACAAATTTGGGCTGAAAGGAGAAATTTCCTGACAGAAAAGTTAATTCATGAGAATGAGTTGCCTCCAGAAGTTTTGGGTGTCCTCTTACTGGAGGTTTTCAAACGTAGACTGGACAACCATTTGTTACATGGCATAGGGAAGGAGTGTCCAAACTTGGGAACTTTAAGGCTTAATGGACTTCACAGTATAGACAGCTATGGGGATTCTAGAAATTAAAAGTCCACAAGTCATAACATTCCCAAAGTTGGACACCCCTGGCATAGGGTCTCCTGCCTGAACAGGGGGTTGGACTAGAAGACCCCCAAAGTGTCTTTATTCTGTAAGTCTGGTAACCAGCAAATGCTGAAAGAATTACAATCCCAAACTGTCGTTTGGGGAGATAAATTCTGCATATGTCAAGTGTGGGAGAGAGGGTTATGCAGGCTTTATTGGCACTACAGGCTTTGAATCATGTGCTTTCCCTTCTACAGTCCATTATTGGGACCAGGATGTTTGAAGAGCAAGAAGAGATGGGTGATCTTCTGACAGACAGCGAGGAAAGTGTCTATTCTGGACTGGAAGATTCTGGAAGTGACAGCCTTACAGAAGATGAGGAAGACCAGGATCACGGAGTTAAGGAGAAGGCAAAAAGGAAGTTGCACTCCAAAAATACTCAAGTAAGTTGATCATCTCAGAGGCTGGTAAATATAATGCTGTGTTTCTGTCTGAGAAGATCAGCCAGTAAGCCGTGAAAATTTGGGGGTGAAAGCGGACACCAGCTTTGCCTGCTTGCCCCTCAGGATCACTCTGAGATCTCTCTGGTTTTTGCTTCTACTATAGACTAGAATCCCAAAACGTGTGTTTTGTTATTGTCAAACCACACTTGATCCAAAGTATTTGGGCAGAATTTCAAGAATGCAATGGCTTGTTTAGGATTTGGAAAAGAATATCTTTTTCATTTCATGCACATTTGTAAGAGAATCAAAACTAGCTTTGTCCAGTGTGTTCCTTCTGTGTTTGAGTCTGTAATCTTTAAAGTGAAGCTTGCCTGCAAAGGGTGAGAGGCTGTTTTGGTGAAGGACATAATCATGCTTTAGTCTCTTCTCATAGGTCATGTTCTAAGGTTCCTATATCATTTTTGTACCTTCATCTGTACCTTTTTTAACTAGTCAAGTTTTGTTCTTCAATGGGCTGCTCAGAATCATGCACCATAATCAAGGCGTGGTCTCAGCAGTGCTGACTGAAGGGGTATAAGGACTTCATGCATCTTTAATGCCAAGGATGGGGAACGACGGCCTTTCTATGACTTGTGGACTTCAACTCCCATGCTGGCCCAGGAATTCTGGGAGTTGACGTCCACAAGTCATAAAGGGGCCATTGTTCCCCATCTCTTTTTAGTGCTGCTTCTACTCTTGCCCAGAATTACGTTACGCCTTTTAGCAGCTATTTCATACTACTGGCTGATGTTTCGCTTGTTAATGTTGACATTCAACTCTTTTTCAAATATCTGTTGCAAGGTATTTGTAGATGCAGGTTTTTATATGTATGTGGCTTTCTTGGGATATTTTTTTGTTTAAATTATTAGCAGTCTGGGATGTCCAGGAATAGGCAGAACATAAGAACATACAAGCATACAAAAATACTCTCCATATTAGAGTGCAATCATGTTCGATCTTCCTGGGTTTTGGCCAGATCTCCCAGTTCTGTATTATCAATGTTTAATAAACAGTCCATCAATCATTTTATCCAATTTGTGAATAGAAGCATTGAATTATACTGGTCCCAAGACAGATCCTTGTGGGATCCCATTGGTTGTTACCTATATGTAGCAATGAATTATTCCAGAGTGGTTTTCCAGCCAGTTGTGGGCCTCTGCTACTGTTATACTGCCCAAGCCACATTTTATCCTTTCATAATAGTTATCTTGTTAAAGCCTCTATTTTTATTGCTTTTGGTAATCATGTTTGTGCTTGCAAATGGCCTCCTTTATTATCTGCTCTAAAATATTTTCAGGTTTTTGAGTAACTGCTCCACAATTGGAAGGTCCCCTTTCCTGTTGGAAGAGTGGAGTCCCACTTGCTGGTCTTAGGTCTTCTGGCATCTTCCTGGTTCTGCAGGATTCTCTAAAGACCCCAGACGAAGGCCCGAAGAGCTCTTTGCCCTTCCGCCTGCTAGGGCATAGCTCATCAGGGACTGGCGACATCTGGCTTAGCCAGAAGGTCCTTTCCGCATCCTTACTGGCCTGCACCCTCCCTTGTTGAGTTCCTTCTTAGCCTGTGCTACACAAATCGTCTTCCTCTGGATGTGGGAGGGGTGGGCACAAAGAGAGCTGAGTTT